ATACAGCACACACAAGACAAGATGAATCCAGACTATTTCACATCAGTGACCATGATTTAGTTGCAACATTTACAACCAAATGGATACCAGGTTATTAAGCAAATTCCTTCAAGTTTAATTGCAACCCCCCCTGTCATTTTCTTGAAAAAAAATAATAGCCCCCTCCCCCTTCTAGTCATTTATTTCTGCATATGCCCCCCTTATTTTTTCCCTCCCCCCCCTTCCACAAATGATGACCGGTCTCTTATTGTTAAAATCGAGGATGTCGTTAAAATTAAACTGTTTAAACCTGTAAGATCTTCGCCCCAGTTCGGGAACATTTTATATTATGTTGTGTTTTACCAAATAATGTCCTTGCCCTTGCACGGTTCCCATTTGTAAAAAACTGCTGTAAATCATATCCCCCTTTAATTTGATCTCATCCGTGAGTCGGCCTCGAAGGCCTTTGATCTCTTTTTCGGCCGTATACCAGTGGATTCGTCTCACTTCTCGCTTCATTTTGATGGCATTTTGAGCCCAAAAGCCGCCAAATATTTTATTTTGAACGTTTTAAAGCGCAGTTTAATCCTAGAGCAACTGGCTGCTGACAGTTTTGAAGAAGAATGTAGCGTACTAAATATAACTTTACTTGTAGAGCCTACCGCATTTTAGTGCTGTGTTATTAAGCCTTTCGCGCTCTTGTTCGACTTTTCCGCTTAGCTCGGGAAAGAGCTGTGTACTGTATGTATCATGTACATTGTACAGTAATGTGCGTAGTTGTATAGCCCCAGCGAGTTAACGCTCCGCAGAGCGTCTTGTCATCTATGATATTGGTGGTATGTAGGTAGACAGTTTGGCTTTGTAAAAAGAGTGTGGATGGTGCTTGAAGATATCTTTAGGGAATGGGCGCCTTTTGATGTTCGGTGGTAGATTGTTCCAGCGGATGATGGTGCGTGGGAAGTAGGATTGTCCGAAGAATTCTTGATTATTGGAGACGATTTTGTTATAGTTATTAGGGTCGAAGTTGCGTGTGGCATAGGGATTAGTTGCAGATGTAAGGTATTGGTTAAATGTGACATTAATGTATAATAAGGTTGTTTTTATTCTGTATAATAGTGTTAGGTCATAAAGTTCACGCCTGTGTTCAAGTGGGAGAATGTTTAAGGATAATAGTCTGTTTTGTTGTATTTCCTGGTGACCTGGAAGGTTTTAAATTTTGATGTGTTAAGATGCAGACCAGTATTGAATGAGGAGGAATTAAAGTTGAGAAGAACATTTTGTAATAACATTGCATCGGTCCTGGAGTTAATCTCTTTAAAAATCTTATTGTCATCAGCGAAAGCTGCTACATTCGAATTCACGATGGAAAAATCCAAATTTTTCAGCAACACCACTCTAGATTTGCGCACGTCATATAAAAATTACTGTCGCTGCTTTCATTAATGAATACCAGATGCTTTATCCAGTCATATCTTCGAGATCAGTGGCATACAGGTATTATAAGGGTTTTTGATTTCTCCGGATTTTGAATTTTTTCCTAAAATATGCTGAAAATTACGTAACTAGGGATCCAAGGATAGTGTGAAGTTTCAAATTGAAAAAGACACTGCAAGAGCTATATAGGGTCGCCGACAACCTAGAAAAGCTGATGCCTTACACTACGAAATATACAGTTACCAAAGGCATTTCATCTCATTATTTATTGCTTTTATAATACGCTCGGCACACAAGTAGCGTGACGTTTAAAACAAGCCTAACACACCAGAAACGTGCGTTGTGAAACTGATGCAATTTGTCTATTTATTGTGATGCTACACGCGACAATTCGAAATTTAAATTGTTTCACCAACAACCAAATTTTGCATATTCTAAATTTTCATTTGCATTTGTCGCTAAAAGCAACTCCACGAGGCTACTGCTATGCTAATTTTATCTAAAACTATAATTGAAATAGCTGTATAAGATATGTTATGAATAATAAGCACTACGTCGTTACATCATTAAAAGGACGCATTTTATCCTCATCCGTTCCGTATTTTATCCGCATATCCGTTCCGTGTATCCGCTCCATCCGCTTCCGCATTTTAACCTAATTATGACATGTTTCACAATAACAAGTCTCATTGACCTTTGACTTTTCCCAGTGTCACGTTGTGTCTATTTTCAGCTTTTCGCATGTGTAGAATATAAATATCACTTTAGATTTCAATAGTTTCACAGTTATAGCAGTGTTTAAAACATTTTTGTCAAGCTTTGATACAGTTCTGTGTACAGAATACTACAGATTGATTCTCGTAAGATCTGGTAGAGTTATCGTTGCACTGAATACGAGTTTGCACCGTTGACAACGGCGTTGTGCTAGACACTAGACAGTAAACAAAGACAAGGACAAGGTCCGTGAATGTACACGTTGGCTACATGTACCTCCTTGCTTTTTTTTCCTATTGCATAAAGCTTGTTGGCGAGCCAATTAAGCGATTAGCGATAACACGTTGGCGACAACACCTAAACACATTGGCTATCTCCTCGTCTTTCTTATTTATACAAGGAGCTCTGACTCAACTGATTCCTTTAGTCTCGTAAGTTTTTTTCTTCGTAAACGCCGTACAAACGCTTACCCGCTTGTGTTTAATAGTTGTTTATGCTTTATTGATCTGATACAAATCTGATGCAATTTTTCGCACTTTGTCCTGAGTATAGCCATCTATTCTGTGATGTAGCACCTCTGCACCTTATGTCCCTTATACAGTCAATGAGCATATGTATAATGAATACACGGTCTAAATATTATCGACGGTAATGCATAACATCAATTTATATATTGTATTACTATTATTGCGTAGAATCTCAAAGATATTCTCAATATTCATGTCTGAAATGTTTATATACTTGAAAACAACACTGTCTCAAAACTGTCTCGCTTCTGCCTGCACGTACTGTACCTCTGTATAATGAGTATGCCGTGAAAAAATAATATCGGCACTCAATTGAATGCCTAGAAGCAAGATTTTCGACTCAATATTTACGTCTGAAATGTTTATACACTTAACTGCACTGTCTAGGCGGCCTAGCCTCTTCCTAGCTCTGTATAATGAATATACCGTCTAAATATTATCGGCACTTATTAAATTGAACGCCCGTATTAATGCATAAGATCAATTTATATATTGTGTAGATTTTCAAAGATTTACTCAATATTCACGTCTGAAATCTTTATATACTTGAAAACAACACTGTCTCGCTTCTGCCTACGTACTGTACCTCTGTATAATGAGAATATCATGAAAATAATATCGGCACTCAAATGAATGCCTAAGAATCAAGATAATCAACTCAATATTTACGTCTGAAATGTTTAATACACACTTGACTGCCTGTCTAGGCGGTCTAGCTCCTTCCTAGCTCAGTATAATGAATATACCGTCTAAATATTATCGGCACTTAATTGAACGCCCGTAATGCATAAGATCAATTTATATATTGCGTAGATTTTCAAAGATTTACTCAATATTCACGTCTGAAATCTTTATACATCTGAAAACAACACTGTCACCCCTTCCTAGCATATCGTCACGCCATCGTAATCTACGGCTTGAAAGCGCATGCGCATTTGCGCTACTAAAGAAAAAATTCGGGTGTTCCGGGGTAAAGATCCTTTACGCAACATGAGAAGCGAATGTTCTAAAATTTACAAAAAATTACAATAACGAAAGCGATTCCTCGAAATTTTTGTGAACTTGGCAAAAGGATAACAGAATATGTAAATAAAATTGAAATTGCCCGAAATAACCTTCAAAGTACTGACTAAGTACAATAAATCACTACGAACATATATCGTATACACCCCCCGGAAAGTTTACTCTATGACTGACTGAGTGTTTGACTGACTGACTGATTCGTGTGAATTCGCCAGCCATCACAATAGTGTGAAGTGAAACTTCACACTAAAAACGAGATTCATGTTCACAAGGCTCTCTCCTCCACAGAGCCTCCTTAAGTATTTACAAATAACTTACATGAAGTTTCCTGAATAAAAGTGAGAGAGCGCGGTGTGATGGGAAGATTGATATCCATCACTCCTTGCACGCTCACTTTTCCCTCAGTAGAAACTTCATGTAAGCCTCTGCGGAGGAGAGAGTTCGCAAGGTGCAAGTTTAAAAGATGCTTGATGAAGTGTGCCAGAAAAAATTTTGATGTGCACGAATTGATATGCTTCCCAAACAGTCCCGGTGACCAAATCAGGGACATTACTGCTTCATCAGCATTTCGTGCTGATTAAATTTGTTTCAATTCAGGTACAAAATCATGTTTTGGTAGCCGATTCTGGTGGTGGATGCAATGTAGTGTACATCAGATTGTTTTATATTTTTGTAGTTGATCAAACGCATTCTAAACTTTACCCCCCTTTAACGCAATATTACACGAAACGATTTTCAACGATTTCAACGCAATGGATTGTCGAACCAAACCAAATAAAATTTCACGTAATTTCATTTCCACTGAGATTCGTCGTTGAAAAGGTCCGTGAAACATCGTCTTTAAGTCCATGTCACACTACACAACGATAACGATACGATAACTTGTATACGCGCGCTGATTGGTCAAAAATTTATCGTTATCGTCCGACTGAAAAAAAAATCGCTCAGGTGAGCGATTTTAAAATCGTTATCGTTATCGTCTAACGATAATTTTATCATTTTCGTTGTTGTGTGGACACTAACACAATTTTTTTGACAATTATCGCGTGTTTACAATTTATCGTATCGTTATCGTTGTGTAGTGTGGCCGGGCCTTTACAATCGCGTTTTAAAAATACCTTTCTAGTGCGCAAGCAATTAATTTAAATTAATGTGGTTCGCGAAATTAGCAATATGTTTGACTTTGGGAGCTTAATTTTAAGAAAACGCTGGTATGTTAATTAAAGTAATTAGAAAACCAGTGACAACGCACACTCTCAGAACTTTAGAGGCCCTTTTGTACAATTGTGCACTTTCTTTGATTCATACAGTATGTCATTTTACCTTTGCCTTCGTAGACGACCAAATGATGAACAACCCAACGATAGCAAGGAAATTCATACTTCTCGGTTCCACCTTCAATCATCTTCTCCACAACGACTTTAGCAATATACCAATCGCTTTTTATAGCCATTCCATTGTTATTCAATATGATCATTACAACATCCCCAACGTCATCGCCACTCACTTCATAAGTATCGGTTTCACCTCTTTCAAAGTCATCGTGAAAAAACTTGTCGAGCTTGAATTTACCTGTTTCGGCTCCATCTTTACCTGTAAAAGTAAGAGAGGTGTATCTTTACGTGTTGTCTAAGGCCTCTTTTCGATAAAGCACTATTAATAAAGCATATTTCTTGATCGATTTCTTAAAGACCATGCAAAGTCATATCATATATCATGTCGAAGCACGCTCTGAGAAGCAGCGCACAAAAAGAATCAAAATTTACCGTAAATACTCCAATTGATAAAAAGAAAACGAATGCCTCTAAAGCTAATGAAACACCAAGCAGATTACCAGAAAAAAAAACGAAGAAAAACGACCAGAAATGGACAGAATTGACGAAAAGTTCGAGATGATCAAAGCCAACATGGCGAAATTAGACACGTTGGATGAAATTAAGCAAAGCATCGCTTGCGTTGAATGAGAGTTAATAGATATGAAAAATTCAATTGAATTCGCTCACGCCGAAGTAAAAGAGTTCAAGGAGGAGGTGGTAGAAACAAAGAGATCTGATCAAGAAAACAAAGAAAAAAATCTGCGCGTTAGTAGGAAGCAAATCAACATCTGCTATAGACAGCGTGATTGATCTCAAGACTCGATCCATGCGGGACAACCTACATTTTACAATGTTCAAGAAGACGAAAAAGGAAACACGAGCGACAAGATTTACAAAATCCTTGAAGAAAATTTACAAATCGCTGATTCCAGAGAGAAGATCAAAATAGATCGATCTCTCCGAGTCGGAAGGAAACGTGATAGCAACAGTAAGCCGAGAGCAATCGTTGTGAAATTTAACTATTTTCAAGACCGCGAACTTATTCGAATGAATGCCAGGAAACTCAGAGGAACAAGCATTGGAATCGCGGAACAATTTCCCGAAGAATTCGAAAAGATTAGGCAATCATTATATCCAGAAATGAAGAAGGCGAAAGCGCAAGGTCACAGAGTACGTATGGTTCGACACAGGTTGTATATAAACAATGTCGAGTTCAAACATTCAACCCATATTCAACATAACTGATAGTAGTAGAGTTATTTTTCACTTTTAATCGTATATACATGACCAGATATGGCCAGTCTAAGTTTAGATAAGGAATTATGTCCTACCCGTTCTCTTAAAATAAGTAAAAATAAAAAAGCATTAAGTGTCTCACATACGGGCCGGTACGGTTTCATACTCGCGCCTCATGCATAAAATTACCAGTCACATGTCATCAAACTGGAATTGATATGTGCAACATGTGCTTAAGTTGTTCGCTTCCTTTTTATTCAATTGATGATTTAGAATTCCATTTTATTTTTGTCAATTTTAATCGACTTCTATGCGATCATAGTTAATAGAGGAGATGGTTTGCAAACTCATTAGCATTACACTAATAAACCTCACTATCTATATTTTTGTTCAGGTTTATGCAAAAATGTGGTCTTTCATCGTCACGTGCGTATTGTATTTTTGCTCAACCAACCAATAGCAACGGTTTTGTCCAATTGCTCATCCATGACTTTAACAATAGGACATTTTGAACATTCCTATTGGTTGACTTGAGAAAAATACAATACGCACGTGACGATGAAAGACCACATTTTTGCATACTGCCTGAACAACATAGATAATGAGGTTTATTGTGATTTTGTTGTAATGCTAACGAGCTTCCAAACCATCTCCTCTATTAACTATGGATAGACTAACACAACTCAAGTTTAATCCTCTAGGCTTTGATAACAACATAACTAACGCTAAACATTTTGAAAATTATTTGCCGGAAGATCTTGTTTAACATGCAACTATTACCTACCAAATGACTTTGCTGTAATTAATTCTGACAGCAAAAAACTATCAATACTAAACCTGAACATAAGAAGTATGGAATATAGGATTGACTCGTTTAGAAATCTACTAAATACTTTAAAACAACCTTTTTCAATAATTAGCTTAACTGAAACTTGGCTTAATGACATAAAATAGTGAAAATTTCAATCTTAGTGATTTTATTTGTTCTAACAGAGAAAATTGAAAAGGCGGCGGAGTGGGATTTTCTATTTCATGTAGTTTAAACTACAAACTACGAACTGACCTGAATATAAGTGAGGATGGAATAATTGAAACGCTTTTCATTGAAATCATTTCAACAACTAGTAAAAATGTCATCGTTGGTACTATCTATAGACCTCCAAGTGGTAATTTTGAAATGTTTGAAAATAAAAAGAAAAACTTGGCTAACGTTTCGTTGTATTGTTAACAACATATTTAGACCAATTAAACTAGTTTTATTTACAGGCGTGTACTACATATGTATACTGTACAAATAGTTTCAAACGGTTACAATATTCAAATAAGCGATTAAGAGGAAAGGATAAAGAAGAACCTGTCATAAAAAATATTAGTATATTAAAGACATATATCCACTTTTATTTGCAATAAATATAGCGGGGGGGGGGGTTAATTTTTTTTCCCGGCTTTAAAAATAGATCACAAAATCTTTCCAGACAAGCACCAGTTAAATTAAGTTTCAAAAAAATTTTTCCCCACAAATTCCTGTTAAAAAATGGGTAAAACTGATTTTTTCATAAAATTTAAGTCTAGAAATTTTTTCTCACACCATTATTTATATCAAAAAACGTTCCAAATTTTTTTTCAAATATTTCAAATTTTGTGGCCCCCTTAAACTGGGATTCCGGGTCAAATTGCCCCCTCCCCCCCCTGAAAGGCCTGAAAACGTAATTTAAAGGCGAGGGGCTGTGGCATGCAGCATGAATTTCTGGTGTTATCCTTGATCCAGTTAGGGTAACATACAATCATTTATCATTTTAACGTGCACTGAAGTGATATTTTAACTATAGCGTGAAGTATATACACCGTATTCATTCATTCTAATGTATATTGGATTTTCGAAAAGTGATGGAATTACGTGTGGATGGAATTACGATGGAATCACCATGGAATGTCGTGTCATCTAAATTGTTTGATTGTTTTTTAAACGTGTTGTAGTTAAAACCCAACACTACATATACACATGCAGACACACACACAGAAACCGAGGTTAACAAAATTAAAATATACTATTACCAGTGAGTTTGATTGAAATAGATGCATCCGTACCAGCACCACGCAGAGTCCCAGTTGTCACTGTAATCTTGTACTTCATGGTGAATGTACTAGAAGAATTCAAATATTCAATTGTTTATCAAGGTTCTGTAGTAACTTGAGTGAGGCTCATCAGGTTACAAGTGGGATTTAGCTTGTTAAGTGTTACTTTACTGTGAACAAGACCGCCTAATTCAGTCTTAATGCAGCTTCGACGCATGTTCTGAATACAAATATTCCTATTTGATATGTTGTACAGTGTATTATATAATACACATTAATATGATTGAAATTAATTAACTATTTTAATTTATTATAATTAGCTTCTGAGATTTATTCATTAAAATGTCATTGCGCAATAATCGTGCGGAATTAATATAGCCACAGTCAATCAGCGACGTAAACGATGAAATTTCACTAGTGAAACAATATGGTTCGTGCCGTCTGATTGGACACGCGATGCTTTTCACTAGTGAAAAATTAGCGTACGGGAAAATAAGTCTATTTCCCCCCACAAACATTTTGGCTCGAAAGCTATTTCAATTTGAAAATCACAATGGCTGCGTCATTTACAGACGCCGGTTCTGCTGAGAATTTTATTTCAGAACAAGGAAATAAAGCTACCTCACAAAAAAGAGAACGACATGTAAAATTATTACAATTGGTTTTGGAAACCAAGAATGAAGAAAGAAAAATGTAAGATATTCCGACAGCAGAACTGAACGAGTACGTGCCTGAGTATCATTTCGGTCACAACCAAAAACGAATAAAAAAGAAAATCAATGTTTAAGAGAGAAATTACACGCTGCAGTCAACGATGTGGAAATGTTGAAATTCGAAGTCAACAATATGGAGCAATACTCCCGAAGAGATTGTTTAGAAATACGAGGAATTCCCACTATAGGGGAGTAGATCTAATGCATAATGACGTCACAAGGCTTGATGCACGCGAGGAATGCTGGTCTTAGTAGTCATCGCCCGGGAAAATTAAACAGTTCAAAATGAGCACTATCGATATTTTCCCAGCCGATGACTACTATGACCGGCATTCCTCGCGGGCATCAAGCCTGATTACGTCATTAGGCATAAGGTCCATTAGTTAAGAAAACTGGCCAACAAATATGGGCTCACGTCAGTTATCAAGATATCTCAACCAGCCATACATCAATTGAGAACCTCAGATGGTCGTGATCCTGCCATTATAGTCACGTTTAGTCGTCGAGATGTAGGAGATAAATTTTATCGAGAGAGGAAAGCTCTACGTAATAAGTCAATCAAAGACATTGGCATTATAAGGTTTGTTGACAGGAAAATTTTCATTGTGGAAAGCCTAACCCAGCAGAATAGAAAGCTATTTAACAAATGTCTTCAAGTGAGGAGGGAGAAAAACTTCAAATGTATATGGACATCTTCTGGTAAGACTCTATTTAGAAAGGATGAGTCTAGTCCAACAGTTTCGATAGTCAATTGGAATGATCTTAGTAAAATCACGTACTTTCAGTTATTCTAAAAATAGTGTATATACTGTGTATAATTAACCATTTGCATCATCCCACCCAATGTAAATCCTGTGCATAATAGCACCAGTGCGTATATAAGCTCAGTGTGATTTAGCTCAATTTGACGCAGATCTTCATATACCTGTTCAATCAAACTTCCAGTATTACTTTAATAATAATAATAATAATAATAATAATAATATAATATTAATAATAATAATAATAACCATATTAAGCCAGGGGTCCACTCACAAAAGTGATTTTCAGTGGAGTGATTTTCAGTGGAGCTTTCGTAAAAAAAATGAAAATATAAAACTAACAAAAGTGAATATATGGAAAATATATGTAATTTCTAAATTCCTGGTTATTTTTTTATCCCAACCCAGCTTATCCAATGATGGTGGAGCTGCTTTCTTTTTGAAAGAAAATTTACGTTGTGCAGAAAGATCTAGTCTCCCCACCTCTACTGGTGATTTCATTTGAAACACTATGGATTGAGATACAGAGTAATATGAATCATAAGGCATTCAGATTATTAGTTTAAAGCCAATGTCTAATAGCATGCCTTCTAAGATACTTAGAGATAACACAGACAGTAAAGCCATTGCTAATGCCTTCAATGATTTGTTCACCAATATTGGCCATAAACTAGCCAAAGCTACACCATGCAGATACTACTAAACGTGTAATGCCATTATGCCAATGCAACACTCTAACAGTTTCTTTCTAAATGCTACCAGTCCGAAGGAGATTGAGAATGAAATTAATATGTTAAAGTCGTCCACGACTACTGGTCCTAATAGCATACCAATTGGTATTTTGAAGTTGTTAGCCACAGTTCTCTCAAAACCTTTAGAATGCATATTCAATTGCTCAAAGTCAACTGACAAATGTAAAGTAGCTAGGTCATACCAATATATAAAAAGGGGTCACATATCATCCTGACTAATTATCGTCTTATTTCTCTGCTGTCTATATTTAACCAACTCCTTGAGAAAATTATATACAAACGCCTACTCAGTTTTATTGAAAAACACAATATTCTGTACAAAAACCAGTTTGAATTTCGTTCAAAGCACTCGTTAATACAAGCTATCATTTCTACTATTGATAAGATACAAGGAGCTATAGAGGATATCAAATACTACTATGGGAAATTTCTTGACTTATCCAAAGCCTTTGATGTACAGTCAATCACAATAAAGGTTATTCTCTTTCAAAACCTTATGCATGATGGCATTAGAGGTATAGTGAATAAGTGGTTTAAATCTTACTTAGAAAACAGGAAACAATTTGTATCCATACATCATGTCGAATCTGAAACTTTGAGTATTTCTTGTGGAGTACCCAAAGGATTAGTCTTTGGACCACTTCTTTTTTTATTATACATAAATGATGTTCATAAATAATCTGATATTTTAGATTTTTGTCTTTTTGCCGACGACTCTAGTCTCTTTTATACCAGTAAGAGTCAGCCAACACTAGAATCGACAGTAAGCAATGAACTTGTAAGTGTACATGAATGGCTTTGTGCAAACAAATTATCCTTAAACATTGAAAACAACAAGCTATGAAATCTTTCACCCTCCCCATAGTCTAGGACCAGTATAAATGTTTGTATGCGTTTCATTTAGCACAGGTAACCTCAATTGTTTTAATTAGGGTAAAATGACCATGGCGGTCAACATGGCATATGTGCCAAAACCTGAATCCTGGGCGAAAGTCCTGTAAATGACCCAGCCCTGAAACGGCAGTGCCGACATAGCTCCAAGTTCCGAAAACGAAAAGCTACAGCCCAACGTCGTTCCCAGGGCTTCAGTGTGAGGACGATGCGAGATACGAGGAAGCCATGGTCCGGGCCGGTCAATTTTGCATTCTGAGTGGCTAACACCATATTGTCTAAAAATAACTGAACTTGACAGTTGACAATAACAATTCAACATTTGTATTTTTATGATTCTTGTGTGTACGAGTATGTTTTGCAAAACAATCTTTCAAAGTAAGACTTTTTCCCGACTGCATGATTTACTTTCGCCTCGGCCGGTTACAAAACTCAAAAGCCGTGTCGAAGTGAGCTGTGATGTTTCCTGACAAAACAAGAAACGTCTACTATTATTTAAGCTGTAGTTTTCCTTGTACAGTATTTATTAGTGCAGATGTCTGATGAAATACAACGCGTATTGCATTGTAGTAATATTTTAATTTACAATATTCTGTACTGACAAATAAAAGCAAGACAAACAATGAAACTACTAAATTAATTTAGGCTCTGTTTAATTAATAGCTTTTCTCCCCTAGGCCGATGTAGTCTCTACAAGATTCGCACGCCACCGAGTTTTACAGTTTCAGAATACCCCGAATACTTGAAAATTGCGACTATACGATAAAATAAAACAAAGATTGTGAAGGGGATAACATTTGTAGGCAAGCATTGCTCCTGAACGTAAGTGTTGGTGTCCGGAGAAACAAGCGAATCCTAATATTCCTGTACAGCGTAAACAGGTTACGCGAGGTTTTGTATTTGTGTTTATTTATATTGAACTAAGTCAGATCTATAACAGCATATTTAAACTAAATATTAATTATAGCAATAGCAATATTGTTCAAGACGAGAGAAAGGAAATTTCGTGTGAATCACCACTTGCATGGAGACGCCTAGATGCAGCTTGGATGCAGCTTTGCCTGTAGTTGAAAATCTCCAGAAATATCGGTATATCTTAGATAACATAGACGGGATCTTCATAGATTTCAGCTGATTCGTGCCAAACTTCGCTCTACACATAAATAATATCGATTGCGAAGTCTTTTGGCTATTTATTTGTTTCGGAGACTTGTATATTTCATTAAAGAATATCTCGCCACTCCTTGACGAGTAGCTGTCAAATACTGCCATTTTTTGGATAGACACGTGACCGGCCCAGACCAGGGCTTCCTCGCGTCTCGCCTCGTCCTCACACTGAAGCCCTGGGAACGAGGTTGGCTACAGCCTTTCTGAAGTGCTTATAGTGTTTAGAAGGGTTGCTTTTAGGGATGGCTAATGGAAGGAGAATTTTTCTATGACCATGAAAATGACCATGCACCACCACAGGTAAATTGCTAATTATGCACAAAATAACTACGGCCCCCTTTACACGAGCCCGGGCTGATTTTCAACCCGGATCAGCACACCACAGGTGGTTATTTTTTTAGTCTGTTTACATGAACCCGGGTTGACGACAATTTTTGCCAACCCTGGTCAGCAATTCTCAACCCGGGTTGACTCGAGTAGTATTCCGAGCAACAGACTGGAGCAGAGTGTATTTTTGGCGCTTATATCCCTTAAAATCCCTTATAGACCTCATACGATATTATTACGATTTATATACCTTTTAGTTTTGGCGCTTCATATGTTTCAGTATACGATTAGGCTATATCCCTTTTTATCAAGGATTTAACCGTATAGCAACTTAATTCTGCCTTAAAGGGGTTTTCTTCCCTTTTTTATAGCTTCTCGTTATTTTGTACTGGAAGATCTACTGGGGAAAAATATTCGGCATCGAACGCCAACGCCAGACCTTCGCGCAACTTTGAATACAACTGCGACAACATCGGAGTTGAAATCTACATATTTATAATTCATCTCCGTCTTTTTAATCCTTCAGAGAAAGGATTAGGTGTTCAGTAATTTCAGACCACCACTGAAACGAGGGTTGAGCATTTTTTCTTTTGGTTTTGGACAGTCTTTGCTCGCCATACTGTATGATTTTACATGTCTGTACTAAACAGAGACGAAGAAAATAAGCACGCAAAATGTTGAAATGCGATACGACGCTAGGTGCAAAGTTCAAAATCAGGAATTTACCGCAGTTTACATGATCCCGGGTCAAGCCAACCCGGCTTTACATGAAGAAATGAGTAAACTTTTCACGCGTTCACACCTCGCCAACCCGGGTCGACCCGGGTCTCGAGAAGGGTGCCCCGGGTTGGCGAGGTGTGAAAGGTTGACCCGGCTATCGTGTAAACGCTAATAGAGATTTATTCGTAGACGGGTTGACCCGGGCTGGCAAGCCAACCCGGGTTGATGGTCAACCCGGGCTCGTGTAAAGGGGGCCTCAGGCATTCATATTATAACAATAAGGCATAGTCTGTCAAGATATGATGGTCTGGAAACACGGCAAACTTCAAAGCCACAAAATAGAAGAGCTTTGTTTGATGTTGAACTGCACCTCACCGTGCACAAATCCTTTGTCTCAACTTCATTAAATATTATTCATCCTGGTTGCACTTTCATCTCAGCTATCCTTATTGGACGGTTACTTCATTATACGAAAATACAATGAGTTCAATCACCATGACCGTGCACAAATTAACATAAACTCCGACAAAAACATCAAACAATGATTTATGTTTAGTTGCCAGACCACCATATCTTGATAGACTATGAATAAGGTGAATTTCTGAAGGTATACTTTTTTTTAGACACCCTGTACATTATCGTGCAAGTTAACGTTATGAAACCTAATCCCTTACTTGACAAGGACCCTCCAACCTACGACTAAAATGGTCGGTTGTCAGAGTAAATAGGGTTGAATTTCCTGGTTAATGGATTTCAGCTATAGACTAAATTTTGATCTCGGCAAGAAGAACAAAATCAATCACCACAGCTAGGAAGGGCATGTTAAAATTAGCAAAATAAGGAAAATATAGCCCTATACGAAATTCGCAAATTTTGTATTAATTTGTATTACGCGCGGAAAAATGCACCACATTTGGGCCGAAAGTAACCTGAATACAGACTTTGCCCGCCGAAAGTGGTGCATTTTCCCGCGCGTAAAACAAATTAATACAAAATTTGCAAATTTCGTATAGGGCTATATTTTCCTCATTTTACAACATTTCGCGGCCAAACTTTGCAATTTTACTAATTTTAACATGCTCTTTCTAGCTGTGGTCATTGATTTTGTTCTTCTTGCCTAGATCAAAATTTAGTCTATAGCTGGAATAATCCATTTGATCACTATCGTGGATAATTTAACCAGGATTCCTGGCTATATGGTTGAATTAACAAGATTATGTTAGGTGGATTATTAACCAAGACTATTTGGTTAATAGTTTTGGTTATAGAGTGTTGGCTAAAAAGCCACGTTTTCGCGATTGAGATATTGGGTTTAGAGCTCTTTATCTTGTTACAGGTGACGCATTTACGAAACCATACAGTTATATCAGGCAATATAAAAGACATTCAGAGTTACCGAAAATGAACATTTAAGTTTGTATTGTATTCTGTAAAAATACTCAAAAAATGACCCGTAATTAAATGAAAATTAGTTAAATTACAATAATTAGTAAAGTGCATGAGTGCGTCTAGTATTAACTTTTTGGTGCAATTAAAATTAAATTGGTGCAATTGCTTGCATCTACTTCAATGGTAGAAGCAGGCGCAAAGATGACACTTGAACAAAGAAATAGTAATACCTTAGCAAAGCTGCTCATTTCTGCAGCGGGATTTTTGAGTGAATTTAATCCGGCAAGCATTGATGCAGATCTTGAACTGCGAAGATGTAAATGTGGTGATTTATGTCGTAAATTAACCACACTCTCTGAACCTTCTGAGAGCATCCGAGATCTTGGTGTTAATTTACGTTTATCTCGCTAAACAAGAGAGAACACACTTGGCTTGAATTTTGCTTTGGAAAACAGAGCATCAACGTCCGGAAACAAAAATCATTGTCCATGCAAGCTTTGTTAAAAACATTATGCATCATCTGTTGTGTTGAGTATAACGTCCTTTGTTAAATTTTATTTCCATGTCTCGGTTTTTGAGATATTTCGTACGCAACGCTACCAACCTGACGTCATACATGAATGTTTCAAGGCCCCTTTCCCCCATGGAAAAATTTCCACGGACAAAAAATGTTCCAAAAATATCATTGTTTCTTTGCCCATTTCCACTCAAGAAAAATTCCCAAGGACAGAAAATTTTCCGAAAATATCATTGTCTCAAGGCCCATTTCCACTCAAGAAAAATTTCCACGGAGAGAAAATTTTCTTAAAAGTTGAAAATTTTCAAAATAGATTTGTGTGTAGGCCAATCTCATTTTACAAAATTTTCATGAGTGGAGTTTCACTGATAGCCTGATTGGTTGCCGTCGAAATGGCGGCCGAAGCCGTTTTGTCAATTACGAAGAAATGTGTATTTTTTTTCCAAATAATCACCTATGGAATTATACTAAAACAATTATTCACCTTAGGCTCGGTGATTATCGTGAATAAAAACCTCGACTTCGTCTCGGTTTTTATTCATCGATAATGGGTCCTACTAAATACTGCCCGGAGCGCCCGGGGACGCCCGGGGATGCCCTGAAGCGCCCGGGAGCACGTGAGAACGCCCGGGGATAGACAAGATAATATAAATCAGTGCACGATCCTTTTTGAGTCTCTATGAGGCATTATATTAATGAAAAATAATATTAAAAGTGATTTTCAACCAAGCCTAGCAACAAGCGGTAAAAGCGCGGTCGCCCACACAGGAAGTTGTGTGAAACATGAGATTATATTTATTATAAATGTAAATATTTGCTGTTATTAAATTAAACAAAGTTAAATAAAAAATTAAGACTAGTTTTGTTTTAATATATTAAACATATATCTGTATCAACTGCTTAATAATATATCAACTGCTGAGAACAAGTCATTAAGATTAGGCCAAAATAAAAACATTACTAATTAAATTAGAGTCATATAAACTCATAAAAGCATTCCGCGTAAACAAAACCGCAGTTTTCAGCCTAAATATTAGTAAAGTATAGTGACAGTGTTATCAATGCTTTTTTATCTACTCTAGAGTATAGTATGGGAACTTTAGGATATATATTCATCTTCTCTTTTTAGATTTAGTTTATGAGCTTTTTTGTTTTTGTCATAGATCTCGGTAATCTTATTGACAAAAATTTTTCGAAAGCCGCCAAACGACAATTGACTTGTTCTCAGCAGTTGATATATTAAAACAAAACTAGTTTTAAATTTTTATTTAACTTTAGTTTAATTTAATAACAGCAAATATTTACATTTATAATAAATTTAAATATATTAATCTCATGTTTCGCACAACGTCCTGCGTGGGCGACCGCGCTTTTACCGCTTGTTGCTAGGCTGCTTAAAAATCACTTTCAATGCTATTTTTTATTAATTAATGCATCATAGAGACTCAAAAAGGATCGTGCACTGATTTATACTATCTTGTATATCCCCGGGCGTTCTCACGTGCTCCCGGGCGCTTCAGGGCGTCCCCGGGCACTCCCGGGCGTCTCCGGGCGCTCCGGGCAGTATTTAGTAGGACCGGTTAACTAATGCTGATCCTCAAATAATTTCTTTTGATGGTAACAAAGATATCTCATTATATGTAAATGACGTCATTATGATTGCTTTATTAAAGAAAATTTTAAAAATATCTCAATGACAACAACGAAAAATGAAAATAAGATCTTACTATAATACTGTATAGTTTTTAATGTTCTTTCGTTTAAGATAACACCCAGCTATTGGTTTTAACTTTGTAACGAGTCATTTTAGCGATTCAAAATTTATATACACTTTTACTTTCCAATTTAAACAGCTGAAAAACCCTTTTGACTTGTTTCCTGGATTTTAGTTAATGAACAACAACAATAAACCCAGGTCCACAAACAAAAACGTTACGCATGCAAGCTTCTTTGAACAATTACGCATCTGTTCAACTGCTGTATTGAATAACTTAAATTTAATTATTCACTGAGAGAGTTGGGGTTAAAAAATGGGCCTTACTTAAAAGTCTCATGTAAATACATATTACATGCCAAATATTGAAAGAGCAGACAAAGTAGGTAACCAAAACCTTGGAGACTTCACAGGAGATGGTATAATGTATGAGATATATTGTGATTTTTGGTTAGCCAGTCATTTATCTCCTTCCACCTCAGTGGCTCAGTCCTATTGTATATATATGCAAATATGCAATATTATCAAGTATCTTCATTAGTTGACAAAATTTGTTGGCCAAGAGACAGTGCATGCATTGTTCACTATATATTGCTAAAATCTATACTGTACTTACTCCCATAGCTGGTGGTGATAATAGAGTTGTGTCATTAAATGTAGGCAATTCCCAGACAGTCTCGCCATTTGTGTTATAGTAGTATATTCTGCCTTCCTCATCCTTTGATGACTGCCACTTTTACGAAAGAAAATTATGACAGATTATAATACAAAATGCTTATCTTATGCAGTAAACTTACAGTAACATGAATATCAAGCCAATTAATATATTCAATACACAAAGTCCCAGTATTGGAACATCAAATACATGGGTAAATAAAAATGAAATTAAATTGAAATGAAATTTGCATTGCCAATAATATTGCGCTGTGGGAAAGGGGCTTACTAGGGGCTTACTACTAATTTTAGAGGAAATAGTGGGTAATTATGGAGTGGAGTCATTATAGATCAATGCATATGGTATGGATTGTTAGACAGGAGTTGAAGGATATTGTAGATGGAAATTATCAAGTGGAAATTTATATACATTTATTAGACCAAACCAGGAACAGCTGTGAGAAATGCAACTTTAGGTCCCTGGCAGGAATCGAACCTGCGGCTCTGGAGGGGGGGGGGGACTTATTTGAGAAACTAAATAGATCGAGGGATTCACACTTGATGAAAATCATGGACATATGGGTTAAAAACAAGTTCAAGCATCAGGGGCATAGCTAGTGTTGGCCATGCAACTGCAACCAAAACTGGAAAACTTGGCATAATAAAAAACATGGGTTGATTATTTATATAAAGTGGGTTGATTATTTATATAAAGTGGGTTAAATTGGTAGTTACAACAGAATGAATTTAAATGATTTTATGCAATAAAAATAATTAACTTCGAGAACGAATGTGTGCGTGTTGTTTATGTATATATTAATTATATATTCATATTAGTTATTATGCAGGTTTACCGAGATTATTTAAGCCGTGGAGCTCACAGGTATAGCTCATTGCTTGCAGACCTTCAAGTTCACAACGTCCCCACCCACCCTGCCCTTTTTTTGGGAGGTCATTGCTTGTTCGCACTGGTTCTCTTGGGGGGGGGGGGTGCTGGTGCCAACCCGCTTGCTGGGAGTGTCCGCAGACTTATGTTGCCTTCTATGGATTGCTTTCCATTCTATGCTTTCAGTTATTGCAAACCAGCGGAAGTGTGGGTAAAAATATTAGTATCAGCGTTTCCTGGTCGCTGCTGACCAGAGGTGCCTGTATCTGTACCACTTATGTTGTCTTCTATGGGTTGCTTTACATTCTATGCTTTCAGTTATTGCAAACCAGCGGAGGTCTGGGTAAAAATATTAGTATCAGCGTTTCCTGGTCGCTGCTGACCAGAGGTGCCTGTATCTGTACCGCTTATGTTGTCTTCTATGGGTTGCTTTACATTCTATGCTTTCAGTTATTGCAAACCAGCGGAGGTCTGGGTAAAAATATTAGTATCAGCGTTTCCTGGTCGCTGCTGACCAGAGGTGCCTGTATCTGTACCGCTTATGTTGTCTTCTATGGGTTGCTTTACATTCTATGCTTTCAGTTATTGCAAACCAGCGGAGGTCTGGGTAAAAATATTAGTATCAGCGTTTCCTGGTCGCTGCTGACCAGAATTGCCTGTATCGTTAATTGGAGTCCTGTAATGTATTGTTTTGGCCGACAATCAAGGCGCACCCCTGGGTAGCTTATTGTGTTCAGTCACTTTTCTTTGTTCTCGTAGTCTACGTAATACTTGCGTTTTATGTTGTTACGTCTCATATTTTGGGGGTGCGCTGTCGATTACGCCAATTGTTGTCCTGTTGGATATTTTTTGTTGTGCTTACTTGCGGCGCCCGCTCGCGGGCATACCTCCAGCTATTCTGGATGATTATTCCCCTTGTTACTCAAATTGGTTTTAACACTAAACTGCTTTTTTGTAGTCACGTCCTGCGTTGCAGAGCTTTTCATTCTTTTCAGCTATGGTATTGTTATCTTTGCTTTGTCAGGGAGTATTATTTATTGTTTGGTGTTGTATGTTCCGTCACTTGGGTAAGTATTTGTGTGTTTTGTGTTCGTTTTTTGTATTCCGGTTTCCACTTTGTGTGACAACTATTAATAGTTCTGTCTTTGGAGAGGTGAATTCTCGGCATCATTGGGATTTGCCAAGCCGGGATAGTCGTTGGTCGGTAGCTTGAGTACCTACTTGAGAGCCAAAAATTGACTTCAGTTCGTAGTTGCAGCCTTGCTAAACGTAGCGTGCATCCTCTCCAACAGAGCTATACTCTCCAAAGGACTGCCGTGCTTAGGTCATGCGCTATTACTCTATATGCTCTTGCTATTTGTTCACTGAGTGATCGCATGTTAATTATCCCTATTTATGTCATAGAAAAGCTAATTGTAAAATCTAGGTTTTTGGAAATTCATTTGTAAATTCATTTGTGAAGTTTTTGTTTACTTAGATGGATATATGTAATGGCAAACATATGATATTGGTGTCAAAATAGCTGGAAATGCCTCAAGAGCTCCTAAAATAACTCATTGAAATATCAATGTTAATAAAGGTGAGAATATACTGTCTTAAGTTTGTATTTAGTACATAGAACCACATGCATACTTAGCAAGCATAACTGATCAAACCTTGCTTTTGGTAGCCATTATGCATGTGTTAATTGCAGGTACACATCCTCAACATTTAGAAACACGTACTCCTGAAATCTAAAATCCTAGACAAGACCCAGACTGTCAAGCATACCTTTTCATTATTGGAGTCATTCACATATAGATATTCTTCGACTGATGACTGTCTTTCTAGCCTCCATCCTCTTGGTAAACTTAAGGAATTCCTTGTACTCTAAAATGGATCAAAACTATTGTAGTAATTTTACATAATGACAAATATATAATGTATATTGACAAACACTGTCTATGATATAGACTTGAAAACAGTAACAACATTGCAGCCTCTGTGGAAGAGAGTGTTCACATTGGAGAGTGTTCACATTATAAGTACATGCACTCCTCCCCCCCCCCCCTTGTTTAAGTCCCAATAATAATAACACCATCACTCTCTATACTCTCACCATCTATACTCTCACTCAATAACACCATCACTCTCTATACTCTCATTTTAATAACACCCTCACCCTCACTCTCAATAACACCATCACTCTCTAATGAACAAGTCACGAACAATGATCATTTTTGTTTCTAATTTGTTTCTGAAAGCCAATCACAAAACCATGCAATGATATGCATGGTTTTGTGATTGGCTTTCAGAAACAAATTAGAAACAAAAATGATCCTTGTTCATGACTTGTTCATTAGAAGACGATTTCTATAGTTTATTGTCTTTCAATTGTTATAATCAACCAACCATAAGCCTGGATAGTATAGGTAGATGATGACCCCTCTTGCATTACATTTTGCTAAGGTATGAAAGGGGTCATCATCTACTCATACTATCCAGGCTCGTGACTGGTTGATTATAACAATTAATGAAAAACAATAAAACTACAGAAATCGTCTTTCTAAAGAATGAATCACGAACAATGATAATTTTTGTTTCTGATTTGTTTCTGAAAGCCAATCACAAAACATGATCATTTTAGGTAAGTCTTTATACCCTGCAAGAGTAATGAAAAATGCTTAACAAGCTACATCTGCATCTACATTCATAACATGCAAAATTTGTAGACATGCCATAATGATCATCTGACAAAGATGATCATCATAAGTATTACTTGCATTTTTCACTCATAAAACAAGATGCATTCTTGCTAGCACATTTTGAATATTGCATGCTTGTATATGCATGCATGCATATATGAGCCCTGTGGCTGTGTTCAACAACAGTAGTTGCATGGTGTTCAAAGCTTAATTGAGTCAAAAACACAAAAGAGTAGTAAAGGAATGTCCAAATTTTGTAATATCAACAAACATACATCACTCTGTGATTCTGAACTTGTACTGCAAGTAGATGGAGGTCTCCAAGTACTCTCATTTGTTTCATTGTTAAAATAAAATGTTCTCCCTGATTCACTATCCACTTCAATTGACCAACCAGATGGTAAAGTTGCTGATTTTGGTCGAAAGGGTCTCGTTGTCATCACTCCATTGGAATGACTCTGTTGGTCTCCAGTTGAATAATGACGTCTCATGGTTGGCTACATCATAAAAACATAATCAAGTCCAAATATTTTTAAAATTTATTTATTTATTTGAAGGTTATACTTATTAGATAAGAAAACAGCTGTGGATTGAGAGAGATACAACAACCAGAAACATATAAGCAGAACTTCAACATTTTAAGCTTCAAGTATATATATAGTAACCATTTATATAACATGGCTTAATTCTGGTGCTTTGTTCAACCATCAAGACAAAATAATGTAAGTGGGTTAACTAAACACATGGGCATAGTTTGATTAACCCACTGCATGAGCACAAATCTGATGAGTAAAATAATTTAGTATTAGACAGAGTAAAACAATAAAGCAGGGTGCATTGGGGTGCAATGCAACTAAGTGGGTTAAATGAATGTTGCCCTCCAATACACCCCTATAACTGATAAAGAATAAAATAAAGCTCACAATTCCAAGGTTGCCACACTTCATTCTTTTATTATTTTACTATATTCAAGGTTGGAAAAACACTGTATTTGTTGCATTTTTTCTATCAAATTCAAATTAAACCCTTTGATTAAATACATACAAATATTACAAATCAGTCAATCAATCAATAGGTCTTTAATTGCATAGAATAAAAAATACATATTCTATGTTACAAAATATTGTAAAGATATAATTTCCTATATTTACATCAACTAAAAGCAGAATATACTCAATATATACAAGTTATAATAGTTTCATTATTAAATAGCAAGATTTAGTGATCTGCAAATTAGGAGTTCGTAAAACGTTCAGTATTTATCTTAGTAAATGAAATAATTTGAAAGAAAACTCAACTTAAAGTGTACATGTATATATTTGTATCCTGGCAATCATATTGCACAATAAAAAATTATGAGAAATAAAAGTTGCTGCACGAATATGTTGGTAGCCAGTAGTGGAGAATAGGTGGGACCAGGGGGTGAGAAATGGGGGAGAGATTGCTCCACTAAAATTTTCTTTTAGACTTTAATTAAAAATTACTGCAACATGTCATGGTAATTACTGACTGTTAACCCATTGAGCACCAGTGCTCCCTTTGACAAAAAATAACAAAGTAGGCTGCATTAGAGCACAATACAGCTTAACAGTTTAAACTAGACACATGGACAGATGTCTGATTAATCCATTGAGCACCAGCACTGTCTCCTTGACAAGTTTAATAATAATGAAAGGAGCATTAGTGTGCAATGCAACTTAACAGGCTAAGAAATTATGACTGTAATGATGTTTTCTCAACCATGAAAGCCTGATAGCCTATTATAGTCAGAAATTATAAGAAAGTTTGGATAACATAGCTAATAAAAAACAGGAAGTTTTATAAAAGACCAGGTTTTTTTCCACCTCTATCTTTTTGCATCACAACCTTTTTTTAATGTTTCCGACATCCCCATAAAAGGACATTAGTTAAATTGACTTCATGCCAGTATTTGAAAGGCATTTCTTTGTACATTTGTACTCCAAATGATTATGTAAATTATTGTGATTTGCGGGGGAAGATCAAAATACTTTATGTTTGAGCTTATATTTAGATAGACACTGCAAATATCATATGAATCTCATTTAAATGGGTTTTATAACAATGAAAGAAAAATTGAAAACAAATTGAAATGTTTATATCAAAACAAAAGACAATAAAATGTTGCAAATATTCTTTTATTTGCAACAACATTTTAATCAACTGGAAAAATACATCATGATACTGAATTATTATTAAAATATGAAAAGCATGACTTGAAAGAAATCTTTTTCGATTGATTTGGTATAGAAAATTACTAATGCAAGTTTCAACCTTGATGTATAAACAATAAAACAAATTTGCCTGAACAGAGAATCTCTTTAATCCAATAATCTATTGCCATTATTAACCCCGACAACAAGACTTTAACAATAATTTAGAAGAGATTAATTCTAGTACATGGCAATGGGTTTGACTTCCTTGTTCTTCACACGGGCAAATACAAACAGAATGTTTACATTTTTAGTAATTTTGAGTACATACCTCTCGCTCATTTGATTTTACTGGTATGTTCGCATATGTTCTCTCTGAAATATCAGTCATATTCATATATATTCTCTCTGAATCATCCCCGCCAAACGATGTTGTTTCTTCTTCAGCTATATTTGTCGTTTCGTCTTGAATGTCTTGATATGAATCCTCAGATGAAGGTGAAAGTGTACTGTCTTCTCCGTGGCTTTCCGTATCGCTAAAATCAATACGAGATTCAGTCATGTAATTCGCTGGGACATAAATATCTTGCTCGCCTTTACGGACGTGCCACCAGTCTTCGTTAGATTTTTCAACCAGTATAAAACACTCGCCAGCTTCAAATGAAACTTCCCTGCCTGGTTGCATTTCGTAAGAGTACGGGTATAAGGCCTGTACAAGTAATGTTTCATGACCGTTTCCGACAAGTGCTGCCGATCGTGATAAAAGCGCATCCCCATTCCTTTGCGTTGCATACATAGTGGGAGCTTACACTTTTCCTTCTTTAAAACACTTCTTTTAACGTAACATTCGATTCGTTCCTACATGCTCCCTCTCAAGTTTTACGACTTTGCTTGTTCAAAATAACATCGTCACATTCCTTTTTCACAGCGAGTGGGCTGCTTCCACTGCCTGTTGCCTCAAATTCCTTGTTTTGTTTCCACTTATCAAATTATTTATTGACAGCATTTTAATTACCGGAAAAGGAGAGTATTAAAATTAATTAAAGAGATCTTTATATAAGTTTATGACATTCACTTAGTTTATAGCAGTTAAATAATAGTGTATTCAAAACTTTCTTCCCTTTATATGTAAAAACGTGCAATTTTTTTACTAAAATTCGGATCCAGTAGGTTGCTGGTTTTGTATTTTTTCCACTCTGCAACTACAAATGATTTCAATATTTCAAATGACTTCTATCTAAACTTGCGAACATACCGGCGGTATATTGGTATTAAGACCATTTTACTTTTGGTATCTTGAAATACGGGTAAAAATTATATCCTAGGGCTAGGTTTCACCCATAGTCAGAAATAATATATATATATATATATATATATATATATATATATATATATATATATATATATATATATATATATATATATATATATATATATATATATATATATATATATATATATATATATATATATATATATATATATATATATATAT